GTTCTATTATTCATAGTTAGTTAGTTGGCAGGATTATCATTCAGTCCATACATGGTTTGAACACAGAACCATTTTTTTCTGGGATCACCAAAACCTCAGCTCCAGCACTGAAACACTAACTATAGTTTAAATACATACTTAAGCTTGGCTCAGAGTTTTCAGACTTGATTTTCAAGTGATAATAAAAAGGAGTAAAAAATACTTGGCGTTGAACCTTTAACACATTGCAGACTTGATGATTTTTATCTACAAACTAAATCTCCATTGAGCTTAAAGATCCTGTTCACTTGCCTCATGGGAAATCACCAGCTGAAAGGTGGTGCTTCTTTAACCCACAGGTTGCCTTGGCAGCAGAGATTCCAGACTACAACCAGATGACCTTGCCACTGGGAGGGGGTCACACTGCTACAGCAGCCCAAATGCGGCATTTTTGCCGCAGCTATGAGTTCCAGCTGCCCCCGCAGCCTTCTTCCATGTCGCCTCCCCTTCCAGCTGCCTCCACGGTGCAGTTCTCCACTCTGGGCCCCGGGGGGCGCCACGTCTACTGCAACATTCCTATGACTCTTCTGAACGGTCAGGTGGGGAAAGACAGCTGTGTGTCTACAGTGACTCTGTTGTCCCTGGACAGTCTTTGGACAGTTGAACAGTGTTGAATGTTTGCATGAGTTCAAACAAAATACAAATCAAAGCCCTCTTTTCTCCCCAGGGGTTCAGAGCAGTTCACTGGGGAACAAGAGGTCTGTTTGAATAAAAGCAAATATAAAACAGAAACTAATGTCTGCATTTTAACCAGCTTACTAAGTATTTATTCTAACAGACTGGGCAGTTGTAAAACAGACATGTAGCACACACATGGCATGCAGTAGTTACTGTAGATGCTTGTTGCTGCTCAGAGGGTGGTGGATGTATATTTCTGATCCATGTGGTTCTGTGTTCCTCAGGTGCCTCAGAGCAGTACGCTTGGGAAGAAACCAGACCTGCACCTGAACAGCACCTTTGTACCCCTCACCAGCAGAGAACTAAGCTCTGACATCTGGTAGACCCACTCCTCTACTGGTCTTTGTTTACACACGGCTCCGGTAGACTGGCTCCTCAGCAGGTTTTTGTTGGGGTCTTGGACTTTGTACAAACTTGAGAGTTGGACGAGTTTTCAGAGAAGACGACCTGTGGACTTGTTCTGGGCCACTTCATGCCATGCTGTGAACTAAAAAAAAAACCTTTTACACAGTGAATAAAGTCTGGCTTTATACTCRTCATCTGTCTGGACCCAGACAAATGGAAAGAAGGACGGGACTCTGCTTTGGGACTAATGACTGGTTACCAGCTGGGATAACCAGCACTGAGGGACAATACTACTGACAACATGTGTCCACAGTCATAAAACTTCAGAAATGTCACAATGAGTTTGTAGACAGATGGAAGACAGGACAAGAGAAGGTCCTGGAAACCTTAACGAGTGTCTGCAGACACAAGACCWGTCTGGTTCTCCAGAAAGCAGCCAAGCTGCATCTCAGAGCACAAAGTATCTCAACCATAGTTTGTTCTCCAACAAGCTGTTGTGGATTTGGGTCTATGTAGTCGTGCCAGGATACTGACACAAACAGTTTTACATCATCTCAATATTCTTTTACTGAATGTAGGCCAGGAAATCCATCTTATCTGGTGACCAGTAGGTGGCTGGAAAAGCAGATGAGCTAATCATCAAGCAATGATTTTTGGAATACTTCTGAATAAGTAGTCAACCTTTWGAAATACTGCTCTGAAGTTATCTACCTGGTTTTACTTGTAGAGGCTTATCTGGTTGACTTTTTCAGAAAGAAAGCATKGACTCAATGTCTACTGGGAGAGCACAGTTAGCTGGAAAATCTTTAAATAACCCGTCGAGCCCCTGTGGATGACCGACGGACCGGCTAGTACCTGAACCAAGTTGAGACCGGTGACTATCTAGATCTCGTACTGTACACAGTCAACTTCCAGGGCCGGCCAGCAGAAKAACCTTTGCTGCCAAGTTAAAAGTATAACAGACTTGGCTTTTTCTATTTGCATGACCACCCATTTAGATAAAAAATGCTAATCTAATAAATATAAATGAACGAGAAAATGGCACAATCATTTGTTGCAGCCTCTTTTAGTATGGAGCCTAATAATACATGTTGTGTTGSTATTTGTTTTCTTCCTGGCCATGATGTCATGATAAAAACTCAAAAGGAACAAAGGAGGGGAGCAACCCTCCAGAAAGATCTTTATTATTTAATWTCTTGTTTTATTTAAGAAATGAATCCTTATGTAAGGTTTCACTGAAACTTTGTTTCTACTGTCTGTTAGTTTCAATAACATCTGTACAGCTTCCATTACTTTGGTATAGACCTAAACATGATGGTGATTTATTCTCTAGAGTTTCTGTTAGCATATGTCTACGTATTCCAGAGATGTTCCTCTTCTGTTATGTTTTTTATTATGAATGGATGAATGGGCTTACAACTCTACTAATAGATCATTTTAATCATTTTAGAAACCAGAGCACCACCAATCAGCTAAAACTGTGGCCTRGCTACAGAAACAGCCCTACTCCAAGCTAAATCAGATGTTGTTCTTTTTTGAGCTTTACAAAACATAGATTACCATAATATTTAAGCAAAGTGGATAATGTTTTGAATTTACACAAAAATACTGTCAATGTCTTCTTAGAAGCAATGAGTTCTGGATATTTGAGATTGTTTCATACAATAATTAACTATATGAGTTGTTATATTCAATGGCAATATAAAGTACAGTAGTTGTTTTTCTTTTTATCCATTTCTGATAATTTCTTTGACTATTCTTTGGATATATTGGTTGAAATAATTTAACTGAGAGCAAATAAACATTGCATTAGTTGTTTTATACATTTTGGATGTCTTTTGTGTGACAATGTGCTCCTTTGGTACTTCCTCAGATCACTGACAGTATTCTCTTTGGTTCTTATTTCAAGCTGATCAGAACTGGTGATATTATCTTCTACTTCTCTCTAGTTCTTCCTCTTTAATGTCTAATTTTACTGTCAATCAGCTTTCTCTTTTTTGCCCTGGTGTTATTTGACCATTTTTTAATTATTTTGATGCCTCTACCCCCTCCTCAACCTACAGGACTGAACAAAACCTGGCTGAAGAATGATCACCAGAAACCACCTTAGGAGTGAAGACAGTCGTGATGCTGCCACGCTGTTAGTTCTAACCGTATCAGTTTTTCCTGCTTTGCATTGTGTTTCCATGATGCTCTTTACACCAGCCCTGTGCTGGAAGCTTAGTGTCATTGTTACTTGGATCATGACGTAAAAGTCAGATGAAATGTGACAGGYCCATTCAGGCTGAGCTCGCTTTGAAAAACATCCAARATGTATCTGACAGGGTTCATGAGGTTTCAATAAGTTAAATTTAAGACCTTTTAAAGACCTTTTAAGACCATTAGTAATGACATTTAAGACCAAACCAACACATTAACATAAACAGTCAAATGGTCCCAGAAATTTTAACATAGAAACCTTTTATTGTTATCAATTTATCAATTAAAGAATGTTTCATTTTAATACAAGAACACTAAATTATTTTAATCAAACAGTCGTATCTATGAGACCATCATATGGACTGCTGTGGACCAACTGAGTACAAAAGTCACTGGGGGCGGCTGTGGTAGAGTGGTTAGGGGAGTCATCCTGGAACCGGACYGTCACCGGCTCGATTCCCCATCCAGTCAACTCGGTCGTTGTGTCCTTGGGCAAGACACTTCACCTGCCTTYCCTACTGATGATGATCAGAGGGTCCGGTGGCACCTSTGTATGGCAGCCTCGCCTCTGTCAGTGTGCCCCAGGGCAGCTTTGGCRACAATTGTAGTTTTCCATCATCAATGTGTGAATGGGTGAACGTCAAGTGTCATTAAAAACAGCAGTGGACATGACTGAACTTGTTTGTTCTTTGGGCAGGTGAACAAGACACCATATGCAGGAGGTTGTAGCAGCAAAGAGGTCAAAAACATGGAAGTAAACTGACATTTTTTGCCTGCAGTTATCACAGGACTTGTAGTTTAACCACAGACCAAGACCAGTATCAAACTTAGCACTTCATGAAGACAGATCACATCAACCTCTGATTACAGAGCTMTGCTCTGTTTATTTGGGCAGCCAATAATGACTGAATGAAAAAAAATAAGATTTGACAAAATTAAATTTAAGACCTTGYATTAAAATCTGGGCATCTTTAAGGCTGTTTTAGGCCTAAAATTTAGATTTTCAAATTTTAGACCTATTTAACACCCTGCATGAACCCTCATCTGATTTAGTACCACTTACTGGAAAGGCCTGGGTCTGATTCACGTGCAGTGTGAATGTAGTCTGAGACGATGGCTGCGATCACATCTATAGCACGTTGTTATCATGACAGTCACGATCTTTACCAGAGCCTAAAGCCAGCAGAATCAGTACRTGCTTCAAAGTCTTGACCACCAACCTACACTAGCCCTCCCAACCTGGTCCGACCGCAATGCACTGCCATCATGATTCTTTCCAGGATACCATACCATACCAAACCATACCAAACCATACCAAACCATACCAAACCATACCAAACCAAACCAAACCATACCAAACCAAACCAAACCATAACATACCATACCAACTTTATTATGACCCCGCACGTGAAGGGCAAGTGGGAGTCATATTGTTTTAATACTGTTTTTTTTCAGCGATTTTTGGTCAACCGTAGCACAAAAATGGCTGCACCAGTCAACATGAAATGAGTCAGGACTGTAGATGAGTCTGACCTACACTGCACCAGCCAACGGTTTTATGATAGACCCCATATTTGAGGAGGGGGCTCCTTTCAAAGAGGGGGTGTCAGGACATGAAAAAATGCTTATAACTCAGAAACTGTTCAACATAGAAGCTTCAGATTTCTTTTGTTGTTTAACTCTGATGAAGCTCTATCCATCAGGCCCACCAATCAGTGCCCCCCCCCCCAGACCCCCAATTTATCTGAAAATAAGGGGTCTGGACATGCAAAAAGGCTTATAACCAGAGTTGCACATAAGTGGTGCGCAGGTACACATGCGTGGTCAAAAAAATAAAAAGCTCACCAGATGGAATATCATGAAGCTCATTTGCGTACCTGAGATTGTACCTGACTGTCCGTCAAAACAACAGTTAGCAGGGCTCTAGAGGGCAACCAGTTTTGTCGCAAATGCGACCTGATTTCTTTAAAAAAAAATTTAAAAATCCAGCCGCAGTGGTTCGTTGTTCGGTGCTCACCAAGCCTCTAAGGACAACAGGGCCCTGATATAAAGATAAAACGGAGACACTGCCTTCAACAAATCAGACCAAGTCCAGAGCTGTTTTATCCAATCACAGCAGAGCAGGGCAGGACTTTCAGTCAGAGCTTGTTTGGTTTTATTCAATCACAGCAGAGCAGGGCGGGACTTTCAGTCAGAGCTTGTTTGGTTGAAGCAGCGGCTCGGGGAGCAGATAGGCATCGGGCACCCTCGAAGATCTTCGAGGGTGCAGCTGGCTGCAGTGGTTAGTCCTGACTTCTCCTGCACTTTGCTCCTGAACTAGCAGAGAGTTTGGTCTGTAAAACCTAACTTTATATTAAATCTGTGTTCAGAATGTTGTTATTGAACAGATCTGTCCAACTCTGTGTGAGTGACTAAACTCTCCTCCTGATGAAAGACTAATGGGAGCGTGTCGCTGTGTGAGCAGGCTGAGTCTTTCTGTGAGATTCACTGTTTACAGAACATTTGTTTGTCTCATATTAAAGCAAAGATGATTCTCTGTTTAACACCCTGTCAAAATAAATAATACAGTATACAGCAGCATGTCCAACTCAAGGACCGCTTGTGAGTTTTAGATTAGTCCCTGCTTCAACACAGCTGATTCAAAGAGATGATTTACCTGCTCAGTTTGTCATCAAGGCCTGCAGAGGCCCACTAATGAAGCACTCCTTAGTTCAGCTGTGTTCAACCAGGGCAGCACCTAAAACATGCAGGACTTCGGACACCACTGGTACACTGTATATTAAAAAATATAAAAACAACTTGCCATGTTCTCTAGGTGAAAGAGTTTTAAATCTTATTTTAATTTATCATAAAGATCCACAAATTTCCTTCACAATTTTATATAAAAAACAA